TACAATGCTGTGATGAGTTACTAAATTATTGCTCATGGAGTGATTGATTCAGTCACAGGGGCCCTGAAACCTGACTACCTATTCCTCTCCTAAGCAAACAAAAGTCTTGGGAATTACAGCCTTTTTTTTTTTTTTTTTTGATGCCAGGCACGCACTCTACACACTGAGCTATGCTCCCAGCCCCTGGAGCATGGTTTTGAGATAAGAACTAGTTCTAAAATAGGAACAGCAGTCAGCCTCATCTGTCATCCATTTTAAAAGTTCATGTTTAAACTCGCAAATGTTTTCAGGAAACTAGAGAGCTTTCTATTTTAGTGGAAGAAAGTAGTTGAGACCACTTCATATTCACTTTATTTTTGTTATCACTTTTTTTTGATGATACTAGGGCTCTGTCACTTGAACCACATCTCCAGCCATATACTTCTCCAGTCCTATACTCACTTGAAATTAATCCTTTAGGGCAGCAAAACATTTTAGTCTCTTAAAAATAATTGAGGACCCTAAAGAGATTTTGTTTTTATGGATTATATCTATTGCTATTTACCATACTAAAAATTTAAGCAGAATTAAAAAAAAATGTGTTAACTCATCTTAAAAATAAAACCATTACGTAAGAACTTTTGTTTTTATGGTGGGCCTTGCACATGTTAGGTAAATACCACTGTGCTGCATTCTGCTCGCCTCCACATTTTTTTGTTGTTTTGTTTTGAGACAAGGTCTTGTTAGGTAGCTCAGGATGGCCTAACAATGTACTCCTGCCTCTGCTACCCAAGTGCTGGGGTGACAGAGGCGCACCACCATGCCTGGCGGATAACAAATATTTTAATGAAAAAAAATGTAACTGTTCAAAAAACTTAGCAAGAAGAATGCTATTCCTTAACCTTTATTACAAATCTCTTTAATGTCTGGCTTAACAGAAAACAGCTGTATTCTCCCTTCAGTTGCAATACATTGTTTTGGTTGAATGATAAGGTGAAAATCTGACCTCACACAGATACATAGCTGGAAAAGAGAGATTTTGATAGCCTTTTCAGGTAACTATAGATACTCTTCTTTGATACTACACCAAAACTCAGTAGATGGTAGCTTGATAAAGTTTAGTTGCCTGTAGAATCTGAAATTATATCAATTGGCATTTTATACTTGATTCTAATACTTGCACTTTGAATGGACATTTTACCCATGTGTGATTCTGTAACTTCATATATTGATCATTTGTAAAATATTGGGTCCCTTAGTTATACAAAGCTTCCCAAAGTTGGCTCATTTACACAATATAAAAAAATCACATTTGTTGATATCAGCATCAATGCCCTCAAAAAAGCCTTTGAATATTGGAAAGCTAGCCAGTTTATGATGAGAGACACGAGTTTTCTAAAACTTTAATACTATTATATATACTGTTACTGCTTTTCCTCGAAGTGACTGGTTCACTTCATTTTGAAAAATTGTTAGATATACTTTGTTATTTGTTCTGTCAAGCATTTGTAATGTTCTATGAAAAAAGCAGTTATTCCAACTGCAGCTTAAACAATTGCACAGAGCTTTTCTTGGAACTCACCATCAGATTTTTTTTGTGTGAACAAAAGTATTTAATCACACAGAATGTTAAAAAGACGTGTTCAAGGGCCAAGATTTCCTAAAATTACTACTATTTTTTCATCAAACATTTTTTTAAACTGGGGATTGAACCGAGGGCCTGTGCTTGCCAGGAAAGATTCTCTTAAGTGAAATGGACTTTGCTTTATTATTTAAATTTTTGTATTGTAAGTTTGTGGCAGTGAAGAATACAATGACTATTAATACAGGTTGGTGCTATTGCTTTGATTAATGCTAAATAATTACCCACCATTAGTTTTGCACTATCAGGAAAAGGCAAAAAAAAATCTTAATATTAGTATGAAACTACTTTTGACCCAAGATATCTCCTGAAAAGGGTCTTGGGGATTGTCATTAGTCCACGGAGGGTACTTGAAGAACTGTTGCCTTATGGGTTCTTTCCTCCTGGCTGCCACTGTTTCTAGTCCTTACTTACATTATGGCAGTCACCATAAAAGATGACAATTCTTTTCTTGTTTTTTTTCATGTCTTCTCTACCACATTGGGAACCCTTTGAAGAGAAAGCTATGTTTTACTTGCTCCTCTCTCCCCAGGACCTAGCACAGGACCTGGTGCATGCTAAGAGGATAATTTTGAATGAATTGGAATTTTCTCTTGACCTCCCACATGGTGGTGGAAAAATGGCTGAGAGTCCAGGTCACTGATGTCTCTTCTCTTGACATTTTCTTCTCAAGTCAACCATATTATTATTTGTCATACCTAACCCCATACTTATTGTTTATTAAGTATTTGATAAATGCTTATTAAATAAGGCTGTTTCTGATAATTTTTGTTTTCTGTGATTACTTCTCATTTTTCCCCCAAAGGGAGGGTGTGTGTGTGTGTGTGTGTGTGTGTGTGTATGTATGTGTACACAAGTGCACTATACACACTGAGCATCTGAAAGGGTATAGATTCAGAAGGGCAGACTCTGAACTGTGAGAGACAAAAGAAACCTTTCAAAAGTTTGGTCTCTACTCACATATATTATTCCCAGTCTGCTAGAAATCTCTCTTTGGGATTTTGCTGGACACATCATAGTATTCATCTATTTCATTTGGCTTGGACTTGTCAGTGGGGCAGGGAATTATTTTTTTTAAAGTGCTGAATAAAAGTTAAAAAGGAAAAAAAAATGAAACTCTACTTTGGCAGCCAATTGCAGGAACTAAAATACTTACATTTTATTTTTGTGCGTAAACCCAGTGATTGCCTAGAGATTAATAAGTTAGAGAGTAAATGATGCATCATTGTTTAATATAAAAAGCTCAGAAAGAATCGTCATTAATTAGGACTTCAATTTTTCTTTTCAAGCACTCAAAGAATTTTCATCATTGGTGGTTTTAAAGGATCTGGATATTCATGTCCAAACTGATGGGTCAAGTTTTAAAGTAAGTGACTTAATCAATTTAGTAATTTCCCCCTTAATTAAAAATGACAACTTTTTAGGTTGATTTTTCCCTTGTTTTTAAATTGAAAAGTATGGTTTTGGAGCCACAGCTTATTTATTCGTTCAATATTTATTCAGTGCCTATTATCAGTGCCTGCTTGGAATTATTTCCTTATTCCAGTCTCCCTTCCAAGGACAGTTTTAGACTCCTGCATAGATACATTTCTGAACAAAATAAATGTTTTAAAGGTTTTTCATGAATTAGTTTGTCACAACAACCCTACAAGGGAGGCACTGATTATTTTAAAAGAATGGAATCTGAGACACAGAAGGGTTGCCCATGGTCAACAGTATTGTGGTAAAACTAGGATATGATATGAACACAGGCAAATTGACTCCAAAGAATGTTCTCTGAACTAATTTATTAAAAAAATTTTTTTGGTGGTACTGGGGTTCGAACTGAGTCCTGCACTTGTTAGGCAAGTGGTCTACCACTTGAGCCACTCCCCTAGCCCTTTTTGCTTTATTTTTCAGATAGAGTCTTGTGTTTTTGCCCAAGCCAGCCTCAGACTGCAATCCTCTGTCTCTTATGTATCTGAGATCACAGGGGTAATCCTATCCTATCATCATTGATTTGAAATACTACCATACATGGGTTATTTGTTGACATGGGATCTTGCTAACCTTTTGCTGGGGTTGGCCTCCCAATCTCTACCTCCCTAGAAGCTGGGATTATAGATGTGAAGGCCACACCTGGCCTTCCTTTGTAGCTCTTACACAAATGTTTATGTGATTAATACACTGTATATCTTTCCTACTTAAGTTAAAATTCATGAGGCCAAGAATGATCACTGCTTTAGCCCCTATTTTTTCAATTATATCTAGTATGGTACTTGCCATATGTGTGTGTGCTCCATGCTTGTTTACTAAGTGGATGAATGAATAAATGAAAAGCAGACTACAGGCTATATAGTGTGAGTAAAAGAAGGATGGAAGATATGTGGCCAGAACCAGGCACAGAAAGGGACTACCTGCCATAGAGCATGCAGGCTAGGCCCTTCACTGAAAGACAGAGAAGAGGAAGGTGTTTCTTCCACCCAGAGTGTGCTGGGAAGAGAAGAGCAGAGCTGAGCAGACATTGTGGCCTCTTGAGTTCCTGTGGCTCATTGGGAGGTATGGGGGTGTGTCTTCTCCTGTGGACCACCCAAGGCTCAGGGATGGGGGAGGAACTGCAGTGGAGTTTGGGTGTTAGTTCTCAGAGTTATGGGGAGATAGGTCTGGGAGTGGACACACTGTGTGGAGAGGGGCTGACACCACCACCAGTAAAAGAAGTTTCTTAGCTATGGTAGTGTCAGAACAAGCACTGGAGGACAACATAGGAAAGAAAAGCACTGTCTCTCTCTTTTTTTTTTTTTTGGCAATACTGGAGTTTGAACTCAGAGCCTCAGACTGGTAGGCAGGCCCTCTACTACTTGAAGCCACTCCACCAGCCCTGAACTGTCTCACATTGTGCCCTGACTAGATAACCCAGAACCATGCTTGAGAGTGTGAGTGCCCCCTGGAGGGAGGGCTGTGTCCTTACAAGTTCTCTGCACCTAAGCTGTGTGGCAACTGGAGACCTGGGAGCTGACAGTGATGCTGACCTCTTCTGGCTGGCTTGTCAGCTGCCCCAAGGCTTTGTCTTCTATGATGTGACGTTCTTTCTTCTGCCCACTTGGTTCCAGAAGTGGACTTCCATGCTCTAAATCACCACAGCCATTCCAGAAGATGCCAGGCCAGGCTTTTGTCCTCCTTTCTGGGACCTTATTCCCTTGCAACGCCAGATGTAATGTTTGTCACTCAGAAGTCCCACCACTCCCATTAGGCACACATCTCTTTGCTACCAACAGGGCAGTAGCTACTAAAAGTTTTTCCAGGACACAGCAATCCTCTAGGTGCTCCATGAGCCTAGCAGGATGCCCAATAAACACAGACCTCAGGAGCTCAAAAAGACATTGTGAAAGAATGAATTTATCCATTTATTCACTTTTCCCATGTGCAAGACCTTCTTTTGAAGGAGTGTCACAGAGGCCCTCAAGGGAGGGAGGGCTGGGGTAATCCTAGTAGCAAGTTTAAAGTCTAGGTTTTATTTTACAGTAGGGTAAAGGGAAACTACTGAAGATTGTGGAGAGGACATAACTGTCCTTAACCTGTGCAAAATCTTGGGGGTGAAACTGTAGATGGGTTGTCTGGCAGGAGGCAATGCAGAAGTGATAATATAGAGTGGTGGTAAAGATTTCATGTTGAGTAGACGTAGGGTCTAAGGGGGAGGGGGTGGCACTTTGTCAGTTGAAATTGAGTTGGAGGAAGGACAAAGCTCACACCTCTGGTATGGAAGAAGAAGAGGAGAGCGGGTACTGTTGCTTCATTTTGGGATAGGTGACCAAGGAAGATGACCATTACTTCTCATCCATCCTCCTTGCTTGAGGAGGGTTGTATACCATCCTCCAATGTTTTTATAACTTTGAGCCATAGCTGAAGGAGAAAACAGGTGGAACTGAAAATGCAGTCAAAAGTCCATGGGGTGGGGAGCTGGATGGCCCCCTTCAAGTAGCTCAGGCCTGGCAGCTTGTGCTGGGTTCATGAAAGATTCCCTCTCACAGAGGCTAAATACCTTGGGAACCAAGTCCCAGCACGAGTAGGGCTTGTGAGTCTGTGGGTCTCACAACTGGCGTCAACTCACTGCCCCCACTCCAACGTCACATAAGAGCAGGGCGTGCTGCAGCTGTGGTTTTCTGAATATGTTAGCTCTGTTCAGGAACACAGACCCAAACTGGGCAGGGAAGGCAGGCGTGTTCATCTGGGTGAGGGCATGGGCATTCCCTCACTCCTCCCAGGGACTCATGTCAGTGTCAATGGCAACACAATTGTAGGCAGCATAGCGCAGCTTCTCCTCACAGACTTTGGCACTGTGGGGACAGGGGTTCAGTCAGGCCCCTCCACCATTCCCAAAGGCAAGGAGGCTCCAGTTTGTGCACTTCACTGCTCGAAGTACTCCCACACTGAGACTGCTACCCCCAGCTTGAGCCTAGGAAAACCCACCTGGCATAGTGTGGAAGGAAGAGGGTGCTGGAGCAGGTAGAAGACTCAGGCAGTGCATCTGTGGTCTCGTAACTGGGGGTGTTGAGGGCCACAGGTTAGGAAGACTTGTAGGGCAGGTGTGTTTATTGGGGCACCGTGGATCATCCCCTCTGCACTCGTACTCACCCCAGCTTGTCTGGATAGATATAGATCCGTGCTGGTAGGCGACTGCGGCCTGTCACAAAGCGAAGGAAGCGGCTTCGGTCCTCTGGGTGGAGGGGAAGGAGATCAGCTTGGGCAGTCATGGTGAGGGAGGTTCTACAATTTCTACCCTGCCTGTGTATCCCAAAAACCAAGTTAAAACGTCACCATTACTCTGACCTACTCCACTGACCATTGGTGAAATTGTTCAGTGCCTCCCAGAAATACTGCACCCGTGTATCAGATGGCTCGAAGTCCTCAAACCGAGCTGGAGGGGACAAGAATTCATTTTAGGTCTCACCCTGACTAATCCTTAAGACCCACCCCTTGCACTGCCCCACTGCCTGGAACTCACTGAGCTTGCGCAGAGCATCCACAGTGACCTCTGGGTCCCCACACACCTTCTTCTCTAACTCTTGCCAGGTCAGCAAGTCCAGCACAGCCTGAGGCACTACTTTCAGCAGACCTGCCTGCATGGCTGCCACCTGGTGAGGAAGGAAACGGTCAAGCTGGGAAAGAGGGTATCTCTCGCAGCTTACACTGGGGACATCTCCAACCCACTGATCAGTAGGAATGCGGAGCATAGCTATGGTGAGGGCCAGAGTTCTTAGCATTAGTACTGGTGGCCTATCAGTCTGGGCTCTGGCTGTTAGGGGTTGAAGCTTAGGAAGGTCCAAAGCTCTTTGTTCTACTGGCCTATGGCTACTACCTGCTCCTTGCTCTCTTCTAGCCGTGCCTTCTGCACTAGTTGGATGAAACGAGAACGGTCCTCATATCCCACTACGATGCCCGTGCCCCCAGGAATCAGCTCCACCACTTTCTGGTCACTCAGTACAGTGGTGAATGTCAGCTCCTTCCCAAACTTGAACTCGAATGTGTCCTTGTCCATTCCTTCCATCACTTCCAGGAGCTTTACCTGGGAGTTGGGGAAAGGTAGGGAGGTCATCTTTCCACTGGAAGACACTGAGCAGCCTGCAAGGTAGTTTCTAGGCAGGCAGTGGGCAGTGAGCGGCCTGGTACAGGGCTGTGGAAGAATCAAGATAACACCTAACCAGCCTTGGAGGCCAGGGAATGTGCCCCGCAGGAAATGACATCTGGGCTGAGATTCAAATGATGGCTGGGACTTGGTTGGGCCCTGAGAGAACTCAGGAAAGACATCTGAACAAACTGAAAGCAAAAGGCCTGAGGAATGTTTGTCTGGAGCCCGAATGTGAACAAGGTAGCTAGAAATGTGGGAGTCATGTAAGGTGTTTACAGAGTTTGCACTGTTCTAAGCCCAGGGCAAAGCAATCAAAGGATTTAAATGAGGAGAATAAAATAAATTACTCTGGCAGATCAGATGGGCAAGGATAGATACTAGCTTTTGCAATAAATGGTTAGGACAGAAAGAAAGGTAGCCTGAACCAGGAAGGGTAGTAGTGAGATGGGAGAAGTAGTAAGAGGGAGATCTGACAGAATGTGGGGAATGAGGAAGAAAGGAGGAGTGAAAGATGATGCTGAAGGCTTTGGCGTGGGGAGGGGTGAATGGTAGTTCTGAGCAGTGAGCCCTAGGGGGCAGTAGATTGGGGAGATGAAGAGTGTGCTGAGTCTGAGCTTTATGAGTGCCATCTTGAGGCCAATGTCCAGATCACAGATACATAAAAGGCCCCAGGCTTAGGAGAGGCTGCAGCTGGAGGTCAGGATTTTAGAGATTCCCAGAACAGAGGTAGTAGTTAAAACCATGGGAGTAGAAGGGACTGGAGAGGGAGCATGTGTATGGTAGCAGAAGGTGATGCAGGAAAGCCCTGGGGAGAGGAGACACTAATTCCAGGCTCTACTCACCAGCACAGAGTCCACAGCTGGGAAATCTTTGCTCCAGCTCACCTCCTCACCAGAGAGCTGCTTCCACACGAATCCAGGCAGAGCCAGAACCTGTGTGAGAAATACTCACCTGAGCTGTCCAGGTTTTCTGGGTCTTCCTTGCAGGGGCCAGGGCTGATCTAATATGGATGCAGACCACGCTACTCACCAGGAACTCCTTACCCCGAAGGGCAGCCCCCATCAGCTGTCCAATCCACTCATACTTGGCAAAGTCTCGGCAGGAGGGATTAGGTACATACACGTCCCGGGCCTCACCTGTGCCGTTGCCCTGCCCCAGAGACAGAGCTGTCAGCACAGCATGTGGTAGACTTTCCTTTCCTTTTCCAAAGGAAAAAGACCCCAAAGACCCAAAAAATCTTCCATTATGGACCCCACATGAACCCTCTGAATATACAAAGGCTCATCCTCTCCCTGTCTGTCCAAAGGCTGCCCTGGGCAACTCAGTTCCTTCTCAGCCCCTTCTCTAGCTCAGTCTGGTATCTGGGAGGTTTGCAGAGACAGAATAGCTGAAAAGCGGTGGTGGTGGTGAAATTACCTGGTTGGCTGTGCGCACAAAGAAGGGCAGAGGCACAGGGGTGTCGGCTGAGCTAGGGCACAGCTCTTCTGACATGTCTGCCAGGCTGTCCCGGAAACCACCCCCTGAAATGACAGATCCCCTTAGCTGGGCACACAAGAGTCCAGCCCCCATAGTGGGTAATAAACAGGTTCCCTATCTTCATTAGATGGTGATCCCAGAAGTCTCTAGTGTTCTAATAGGGCAACAAACAGGACCTGTGTCATTCTCCCTCAAGGCCTCACCTTGGTCAATGATGCCTTCTGCAATGAATTTACATTCCCACCACTGGTCATAGCGCATGGGCCACCTGTAAGTAGGTGGATCTCTGTTATCATGCTGGGTCAGGTCTCAGGTTGATTCATCAGCCCAGAGACCATCCAGGAAAAAAGCTGAGTGGTAATGGTGAGGGGTACCAGGAGCAGTGTGTGGGCATTTCTGTGCCCCAAATAAGTCCCTTACCCTCATGCCTTACCTGTAGTCCAGGGGCTTTTCATACTTGTCAGAAGGCTTGAGACCTTCATAAACCTGGGAGAATGGAGAAAAAGGAGGGAGTTGTAGGGAAGTCTGTGTCAAGACCTGGCCCTATTCTTACCCAAAGAACTTGCTCAGGGCTCTCTTCACCCAGCACCCTAGGGTCTTTTACTGACCCTTCCCCAGTCTAACCCAGATGGTCCAGACCTGGGTGAATACTGCATTCTTGCAGACAGGGTCCCGAGAGGGGCAGGCACGATGTTCCATGGCGAGGCGTCGGTTGATGTACAGGCGAGGCATGAAGCTAGGTTTACTGCTCTCTGAGTCACGCAGACACTGGGACACCAGGCTGGGCCGCTGGCGTGATAGCAGTAGGAACTGTTTCACTTGCTGGTGATGAGAGATGGCCAGAGCAGGATCAGTGGGCAGTTAGTTTCTGCCCAGGCACTGGACCCTGTACTCAGTTCCACCATTTCAGTCCAAGATTAGATCATTCCCTGTCCTTGCTTCCAGTCCTTTCCTTAGTCCAACCACCAGGGAGAGCTTTATTAAACAAACAAAAATCTAACATTGTCATTATTTTACAACCTTTCCCTTGCTCTACTGATCTGAGACAAAGTTCCTACTTCACACAGATTGGTTCTCAGGGTCCTTGGCTACCAGATCCTGCTTCTTGCCCACCCCTCTTCATCACCATGTCATACTCACATCTACCTGCACACTTTTCTCAAGTTATGTGGAGCTGCTAATAGTGCCTAGGGTGCACCTTTCAAGCAAGCTACTCTGCCCATGCTGTCATTGCTTCTCCCCCTGCCCTTGTATCTTCCTCACACTCATCTGGAGCCCCCAAACACTAAGTTTTAACCATTTGTGTCTGGATTTCTTCCTGGTTCCCAAAACCAGTAAAGGTCCAGCCCTAGAATAGGCCTTAGGAACTTTCTACTGACGAATGAAAAATAGATGAACAGGAAGGGAAAGTCCACTGCACAGACCAGCACTATGTAGGCCAGCCTCACCTTAATCTCACTGAAGGTGCCCAGAGTGTGGTCCCATGCAGGTACCAGGTGGTGCAGGACACTGTCTAGGATCTTGATGAATCTGGGGTAGTAGGTAAAGATAACTGCAGCTAATGAGTTTGGCATGAATGCAAGACCCTTAGCTCCCCAACACACTGGGACAGAAGGCAGGGGCTGCTCCGATCCTTGAAACAGAACAGCTACAAGGCTCAGGGACAGGGGGAAGTGAGAGGCTTGCAGGCCCAGAAATATAGCCACCTCTGCAGGAGGACAGCTCTGCGGTATAGTACTTCTGGGTCAGTGCCTTCCAAGCGTGGATATCGCACCAGACTGGCCGGCTGGAACAGGTCTGCATTTAACCCTAGTTCCCGCTGTCTTGATGACTTGATCTTGACCCCTCGAAGACGAACATCAATTCCGTCATCTAGGGGAAGGAGTCAGAGTGAGATTGATTACTGCACACGCTGCCTTCTTGGTTCTCAGACCTGGCTTCTTCATCTTCTTCTTTTTTTTTCCCCCCAATATCCAGGATTGAATCCAAGGGCTGGTGCTTGCCGGGCAAATGCTCTACCACTTCAGCTATACCCCGGCCCCAGAACTGGGTTCTTAATACTCAGACTTTTGTCACTCTTAGCCCCTAGAAACTTGAGACCTTTAGGATTCCATTCTGTCACCTGATTCTGATATTTATATATTCTTTACTGGTTCCTCTGACCACCTCTATAATGTTGGGATGCCTGTAGATTCCAACTCAGTTCCTCTTCCAGGTAAGCCCAATCACCTCTATGGCTTTAAGGCTAGCTTATTTCTGGTACCTTCCACATGGTTCAGGCCCCACACTTCAAATCCTGGAGTTAGTTCACCTATCAATTTCACCCTACCTCCAAGCCCATTCTCTTCTCTCCACACTCATTGTCACCTTGTCCCCATCTATACCTTAGGGCTCCCTTTCTCTTTTTAAAGCCTTAAGCCCACCTCTGCACTCCACAATTCGGATCTCGATGATTGGGAGGTGAACTGTCATGTCCTCCAAGACACAGACATCCCCGATCAGAGTCCTGCGGAGATAGGTGTGAGGCACTTCTGATATCCTCTTGCCTCAGGCCTTGAGGGATTGCTGGGGTTCCACTCAAATTTAGGCATCCAAGCTGGGCCTGGCCCCATTGCTAAGCTCATGCCCTACCTCCCACCCCAGGCCAGCTTGCTCACTCGTCAATGCTCACGTCACTCAGCTTCTTAAGGTTGTCCCCTTCGCCCCCATAGACCACTACTCGCTTAGGCATAAAGTTGTCATCCGTGGTATCCACTGTGAGTAACAGCTTCCTGAAGGGTCAGAGTATGCACCTGGGTGAGTCTCTGCACCCACAGGCACATGGCTCCCTCATCTTGTCCTGACCAAAGTCTACTCACTTGACAATGGTACCCTTCTTCATGGTAAGCCGTACCCAGTGCTGGCACTGAGACCCATCACTCTCCCAGTAGGTATCTGCATTGCTGTCTGTCAGGCAGGACACATTGAACTCCTCCTAGGGAGGAACAGAGAGGTGGAGTAAGAGGTTACTCTCACTTCTGTACTGGGTACTTGCTTTGGGATAAGGAGTTCAAGAGAGAATAGCAGAGTTGGGCTGAAAGAGCAACTGATACAGGTTGGACATGGGAGTGGAGTAGGAGGATGCCTAGGGGTTCCTATAGGACTTCCAAGTTGCGGAGCTGGACTGAGTGTGGCCTGTGGGGGCTCTGGTTTGGCCCTGGTTTGGAGGTGGGAGTTCTGGATCTAGCCTTGAGGGGTGTGACTACATCTTGCCTGGCTGTGGGGGGGTAGGGAGTCCCAACACCCACCGTGTAGGAAGAAACGTCTATGCTGTCCACATACTGCTTCACACTACCCAGATTCTCATCCTCCTTGCCCAGGTGGTCATACAAGAAGTGGATCAGGTCCTCGTCGCACTCGTAGGTCCATGTTGGGGGCACATAGCTAAGTAACCCGAAGCCCTTAATTAGGTTGGGCCCAGACTCGGACCTTCCTCCTCCCCATCCCATGCCAGCTCACTCACAGTAGCCTTTGTACAGCTTCTGTGTATGCCTCCGCTGGCTGAGGCCTGGATCCCAGGCGGTGAGAATATGTCAGGTCCACCACCTGTTCCCATCTGTGGACACAAAGTGAGAGGTGATGGGGAGGCATCAGATGGCACCACCATACCACCTCCTGGAACCTTCTCCTGAGTTTTAGTTCCATGGCGCCAAAAGCCTACCCCAGCCCTCTTTGGGTCCTATCCCTTGCAGCTCTTAACCCTATTTCCACAACTGGGCTGTGCTGGTTGTGTTAAAAACTTTTCATGCTCGACTGTCCGACAGCAAGCCCCTCTCCTTCGGTTGCAGGACCTGAGCACCGGTCGGTAGTCCACGCCAAAGAGCTGCTGCTGCCGCTGGAGGTGGTCAGGGGTGTCGATGGGTACGAGGCGAGCCCCACCCTCCGCTGGGCGGCACACCAGAAGCCAGCCTTCATCTAGCCCGCAGTCACCCAGGTGTTCTGCCAGCTGCTCCTGCAGGGACGCGCCAGAAGAGGACAGCTATCAAGGAACGGCCCAGCTGCTGGCCCTGCCCAGCCCAGCCCAGATCAAAGGCCAGCTCAGTTATGGGACAGGGAAAGGGAACAGTCAGGGACTTTCCTGGTACCGGGTTTTTTTGAGGGGTCCCAGGCAGGCTAGAAGCGCACCTTGGTCAGCTTCACCCAGAGCCCATGGCCGTTGCACAGCTCCTCGCCGGTAGTGCGCACGCAAGCGCCGCGCCGGAGCTCGATGCTGTCACGGGCGGCGCGTAGGGGCCCGGAGCCGGTACCCGGGGCCGGGCCAGCGGCACCCACACGCAGTCCCAGGCCCTCTGCCTCCCACACCGGCAGCAGCACGCGCGACGGTCCCGCTGGGTCCTTGTAAAGCTTGTAGAGCACCTCACGCGGCACGAAAGCTAGCGCTGCGGGCAGCGGCCGCCCGGAGCGGAGACTCCGTGCTGCCTCCGCCAGGAAGCGCACGCGGCCCAGCAGTTGCCGCGGGGACTCCAGCGCCGCACCCGGGCCAGGACCCGCCATGGCGAAGTAGCTGTGGGGCGATTTAGGGCAATCCCGCCGGGGAGCAGCAGCCGCGACCACAAGCTGAGCTTCCCACCACGCCCTGCCCCGCCTTCAGCCAACCTTCGTCGTAGGTTCTGGACTAAGCGCACACTCGCTTCTGCCGAGCTGTCCAGTGTACTCTGATAATCACCTACATCACTTACCCACCCCCCAACCAGACCCAAGATTAGTGGTTTCTACTTGATCAGTCTCTCTCTCTCTATTCCCATTACTACTATTTTTTTGTTTTGTGTTGAGACTGGGCCTCGCTCTGTAGCCCAGGCTGGCCTTGAACTTGCTATATAGTCCAGGCTGGTTTCAGCCTCCGAAATGCTTGGATTACAGACGTGCACCACCATTCCCTGCTACTCTCATTTTCTCTTCACTGCTACTTACTCTCGTTCAAACCACCATTCCATTTAGCCTAGTCCTCTGCAACACAGCCTCTTTTTTTTCCTGAGTCTGGACTGTTTTTGCCTCCCTGCTCCCAATGAGTCATAGTCATGTTACAACTACAGAAATCTTCTAAAATCAGAATCTGCTGGACTCCTTATCATACTAAGGGCTGTTTGACTAAAATGTTTGAGAGAATGACCACTTGTCTGAGGAACCTTGAGGCACTCCAGTTTAATACTGGTTGTTACTCCTAATCCCAGGACACCGATAATCATTATTCACTTTAATGTGACTGTGGATTTCTATTTTCCCCATCAGACTGTCTTCTACGTACCTACTATAGTTCCCGGTACTTAGTAGGTAATATGATATGCAGTATAACAATTTCAGTTCTCTGTATAGCCTGCCTGCATCATCTGCTGTATGACTGCTGGATAAGATTGTTAAAAATCGCAGACAGTGGGAGTGAGAGTGAGAATTAGGCAAAGTCTTCGGGATTCCCAGGCTATCAGAGAGAACAAATTTTTCGTCACTTTGACATGTAGTTATAGCGAAGTTATTTCTTTTTGGGTGTTTGTTATTGCGTCGCAACAGTGGACTTTACGGTGAAAAATAGTCGGGGTCCTACTGGCAGCAGCGAGGGCAGCCCCAGAGCTGTCATTGGGGTCTGGTCACATGGCTTCCAACATGGCGACGTCCTTGGTTTACTCCAGGAAGGGGCGGAGTCTGGACCGGGGGCTGGCTCAGTTTCAGGATAAAGTGGTGACAACTCGCAGTTGCATTTTACCATGGAGGCGGACGGGTTCGGGTGAGTTTACTGCTGCACGTGGTGTGGCTAGCGGGTTTCTGATGTCTTCCAACTTAGGAATCTGTCCCCATACCCCCGTTTTCCTGGAGATCTCCCAGTAAGAGTCCCAGTCGTTGGATTCCCTATCATCCACCCATGGATTCCTGAGACCTTCACTCCAGGAGCTGTCTTGTTGGACTGCGTCCTCCAGACATTCTTTCAGGGGGTGCCCCAGAACTTCTAGTTAGCAGCTCTATTCTAGGACTGTCAATTCTGATATCTCTTTGACTATCTCCCATCCTGGGAGATGTCCCAGCCTCGGACCAGCCCACTAGGGACCCCGTTTCTGAGGTTCGCTAGTCTCCCTATCCCCCAAACTATCTTTACTCGGCTTTCATCCCCTTCCCTTCCCCCTGAGTCCCTCCAGTTCGAGCTTGGGAAAGTTGGGGTATGTGTCGGGAAGAGGCCCCAGTGCCGGCCCTTCTAGAGACTTGTGCACCACCTGATAGGGTGGTGGAATGGGTGGAGGAGAGCCCTAGCTTGGGAGCCGATCTGGAGGAGGCAGATAGCGGCGCCAGACTGAATCCGCCTTAAGATCCCGCGCCTACCCCAACCCCCCGCCTAGCAAATTGACACCTATCCTTACCCCTATCCGCACCTGATCGCCAGACACCAGAGTTTTCCGGAGCTGAAAAATGATACGTTCCTGCGGGCAGCTTGGGGAGAAGAAACGGACTACACCCCCGTTTGGTGCATGCGTCAGGCAGGCCGCTACTTACCAGGTAAGAGTCTGGGCCCAGAAGTCTAGTAACTATGGAGAGTGAAAAATTTTCTAAGGGCAGGCGAGGGGCCTAGAGGGCCTCAAGGTTGAACTCTGTCTTTCATCCCCTGTCTGCAGAGTTTAGGGAAACCAGGGCTGCCCAGGACTTTTTCAGCACCTGTCGCTCTCCTGAGGCATGCTGTGAACTGACTCTGCAGGTGAGAGGTCCACACAAGAGGGAGGGATTTATTTCCTCAGTCTGCCATCTAGCAACCTGTTTCCTATTTCTGACAGCCACTGCGTCGCTTCCCTCTGGATGCTGCCATCATCTTTTCCGACATCCTTGTTGTACCCCAGGTACCCACTCAAATCTGACCCTGGAACGTATTTAAAAAAAAAAAAATAGGAAAGGATGCTTTAGAAATCCCATCAGTCCTGCCAAGGTCCAAGATAAGCTCTCAATTTAACTGAACAGAGGGGGTAAAAGTAAGACTGAAAGAGATGGAATCTGGCTGAGTTTTGGTTCCCTTTTCCTCTGGCATGTGGTTGAACATAACCTTTCCTCCTGGAGGTTGGGGACTCAGCTATTTTATCCCCTTCCAGGCACTGGGCCTGGAGGTGACCATGGTACCCGGCAAAGGACCCAGCTTCCCAGAACCATTAAGAGAAGAGCGGGACCTAGAGCGTCTACGAGATCCAGCAGTAGTGGCCTCTGAGCTGGGCTATGTGTTCCAGGCTATTACCCTTACCCGACAACGTCTGGCTGGGCGTGTGCCACTGATTGGCTTTGCTGGTGCTCCGGTAATGTGGGACAGGGCACAGACTGGGGTATGAAGAGATCACTCTGGCAGGTCTGATGTAGACAAGGGAAGGAATTATCAGTCTGGCTTCTGCAATCTCTGTATCCTTCTGCTGCAGTGGACCCTGATGACATACATGGTTGAGGGTGGCAGCTCAAGCACCATGGCTCAGGCCAAGCGCTGGCTCTACCAAAGACCTCAGGCCAGTCATCAGCTGCTTCATATCCTCACTGATGCTCTGGTCCCATATCTAGTAGGACAGTGGCTGCTGTGCCCAGGTGAGTCTTGAAGGAAAAATAGCATGGGGCTTGTACTATAATGACCAGAAGCAGTAGTCTTCTAAACTAGAGAGTAGGAGTCTTAGCTTGGCCTCCAAAGATCTGGCTGGAGGAGCCAAGCCCACCCTGACAGTGGTAGGGGGTCTCGATGTTCTGAGTATTTTAAGACCAAAGTTAGTTCTGGGATATGAAAAAGGCAAAACTTTTTTTTTTTTTGGTGGTACTGGGGTTTGAACTCAGGGCCTCATGTTTGCTAGGCAGGCGCTCTACCACTTGAGCTACTGTGCCAACCTGAAAAGGCATAACTTTTTGTTTGGAAATGGATTTATAGACTCAGGCAGTATCAGGGCTCAAGGTCACTTGGGGAAAACTGAGGCACTTTCTGTGGGGGAGGAAGGCTGAAGTACTTCCTCTTTGTGTGTTATGTATTTTTCTCTACTGTCCCCTAACTGTAGGCTTTGCAGCTCTTTGAGTCTCATGCTGGGCATCTTGGCCCACAGCTCTTCAACAAGTTTGCATTGCCCTACATTTGTGATGTGGCCAAGCGAGTGAAAGCTGGACTGAGGGAGGCAGGCCTGGCACAAGTGCCCATGGTGAGGAATGGGATAAATTGTGTGAAGGTGGGTCTGTAGTGCTTTCAGGGTAAGTCCTGCATGGACTGAAGTGACCACTGGGGGGCAGCAGAAGAGCAGCCAACAAATGTTAGTGGGCATAGAAAGACCCTATGTAGTCTCAGAGATGTACTCTTTCCTCCAGATAATCTTTGCTAAGGATGGGCATTTTGCCCTGGAGGAGTTAGCCCAGGCTGGCTACGAGGTGGTTGGGATTGATTGGACAGTGACTCCAAAGAAGGCCCGGTGAGTGGAGAGGTTGGCCCTAGAGGCCAAGGTAGAGGGGGTACAGCTACCAAATATGCAGTCAACAGAATATGGCACTGACTCTACTTGCAGGGAGCGTGTGGGGAAGACTGTGACCTTGCAGGGCAACCTGGACCCCTGTGCCCTGTATGCCTCTGAGGTAACAACTGGGGCCTTTATGTGTGCATTTTTATTATGACTATTTTCCCCTCCCCTTTACTCTACATACACAATGAAAAGTTCTAGGAAGGCAGGACTTTTTGTTGTTATTCATTTGTGTTTTCTTAGTGCCCAGCCCATGTGAAGCATCTGAAAAATCTTGTTGAATTCATGATTAAATAACACTGTGTAGGTGACTGGAGATGTGTCTCAAGGGGTAGGGTGCCTGCTTTTTAAGCATGAAGTGTTGAGTTCAAACCCAGTCTCACCCTCCTCTCCCCCACCGAAAAAAAAAAAAAAAAACACTGTGTAGAAGCACACCTGTATATGTGTGTGTCACTATTACGTATAGGGAGGACAAAGGCTTGCTGAGCTCCCATATACAGAATGCCCTGTTGGTCCCCCAGGAGGAGATTGGGCGACTGGTGCAGCAGATGCTGGATGACTTTGGGCCACAACGCTACATTGCCAACCTAGGCCATGGGCTTTACCCTGACATGGACCCAGAACATGTAGGGGCCTTTGTGGATGCTGTGCATAGACATTCACGTCTACTTCGACAAAACTAAGCATTTGCCTTTCCCTTCAAGTACCAATAACACAGAAGATTGTTTCCAGGAAAATAAAAGTTCCAGAATTAAGTCTAGTATGTGGTTTTGTTTGTGAAAGATTTGTGTCCTTGCTGGGTGCTGGTGACTCATGCCTGTAATCCTACCTATTCAGGAGGCAGAGATCAGGAGGATCGTGGTTTGAAACCAGACAGGGCAAACAGTTTTGCGAGACCCTATCTTGAAAAGAACCCATTAAAAAAAAAGAAAAAAAAAAAGGGCTGGTAGAGTGGCTCAAGGTATAGGCCCTGAGTTCAAGCCCCAGTACAGCAAAAAAAAAAAAAAAAAAAAAAAATTGTGTCCTAATCCTCATTCCTTTTTAAACCTGTGCTCATTCCTGAGGCCGCCTCTGTTTCCTCTTCTACAAGTCTTGGGGCTCAGGTATCAATGAACGTGTACTACAGCACTTAATTTCAGGCTCTCTAACTACCACCAAATTCTCAGCTATTTAAGCCCCAGAGCTACATGGGATTGGGTAGAGCTTTCCAGCAGTTAGGAGTATGACATTTACAGAGAAAGAGGTGGGGTCCCCACAGCATATGAAGGTCAAACTGATAGGGCTTTTGTGTCTGGGAGGAAGATTAAAGATGGCACAGAAGTAGCCAAACACTTCAGAGTCCTGGGGAGAAAGGTAGAGAGTCTAGGTAATCAGTTTTGTTTGTTTGTTTTGAGACAGGGTCTCATTATATATCCCAGACTGGCCTGGAATTCATTCTCCTGCCTCAGTCTCTTGAGTGCTGGGATTACAGGTGTATACCACCATTCCCAGCAAACCTTTAGCTTTGATACTGAAAGATGGGGAGGATGTAAAGACACAAAGCTAAGTTGCTTAGGACTAGAGCTTTAGACCAGTCCATTACCAAGGCAAGAAAGCCTCCGAAGCCAAAGAGCCTCTGGCACACAGGATCAGCTGTGCATTATTTTCTAAGCATATTTTACTGATTTTCTTAGAATCTTGGGATCCCACTCATTGTAGTGACACCCTAACTCCTAGGACAAGGGTCTGAGGTGCTGTGAACTTTGGAGAGGTGTCTGATATAGCAGGAATTTGACATTCTACAATTTCTATATAAACTAGCTTCTTGTCCCAGTCAGAGGCAATGCAAAAGGGAGAAAAAGGCTTCATTTATTGAGAACACAATTTCTGCTTTTAGAAAAAAAGATCTTTTCTGTGATCCATGATTTATTCATAGAAAAGCACTGAGTTCACACACTTGCTAAAAAGGTCATTGGTGATACAGAAATGGGAGTGGCTTCTGTTTTTGTTTTTAAATCAACCCATTTGGCTAAGACACTGGAGGGGCCCTTGGCTGGACAGCAAGACTTTAGTAGCCACAAACAGCAAGTACAACTTAATGATCAGTTTGGAGTAAAAAAGATGACAGTTTGCCAAAGAGAAAAATAAAGCAGACAGAGAGGTCCTTAGTTCACACTCTAGCTATACCACCCCTTCCTACCACATCCCACCCCCAATTCAGGAACTAAGACACGAAACAGTAAACACCTAAGACATTGGTATCCAACTGACTCTTCAGAGTGCCTTGTTATCGCCCATAACAATTCCAGGCTGAGCATAGAGTCAGGAAGTAGCAGGAACATGATACAGCTAGGGCTAAGACAGGGGTTGTCCACTAGGGCTAGAAATCAGGGAAAGGCCAAAGGCATGCCAGCCTTAGCCTCCAAATCAGCAACCAATGGGACTATGACAAAAGCAGGCAGAGGAAGCTTGAGGTAGAAAGGCAGGGGAAGAAAGGAAGTATGAGTGAGAAAAGAACTGGGCAAAGAACACTGGTGCTTAGATGCTTGTTTGTTGACAGAATGGTGAATAGAGAGGCACAGAGATGGAGAACAAATGTTTAGTTGGTGACAGACTAAGGAATGGACAGAAAGATCTAGCAAAAAGAGAAGGGACACATGTAGATCCTAAGAAATGAATACACAGATATTTCTAATGTAGAAATAATTCAGTTACACTTATAAAGACAGATCCATGGATAGCAGTGATACATACAGACACAACATGTTTAAACACAGGTATTCATGTATCCCAACATACACATACAATAAAACATGTGAGTGTACTTATCAGATATGTATTATCACACATATGCAAATTAAGGAGTCCAACACATGTATCACATATGTAAACATGGGACTGACACACAGGAATGCACATGTATATCTATGTACACAGACACATGTACTTGGCCATACAGATATACAGACATATACAGAACTGGAGATGAAACCAGATTCTAACTTAAAGGTGATCAGAGCAGATGCTTATCATGAGCTCAGTGGCTTCCCAGACCTTCATCTTCTCCCTGCACTTGTTCCTCAGGTATTCAGCAGGCTCCAGTAGAGGCCATGTGAGGCAGGGGCAGGAGCTTCAGTATCCTCACAACTTTGTGAGGTAAAAGTTTAAGTTCAGTCTTGGCCTCTGCCCCTCACCCACCACAGGGCTATAGATGCCCTGTCTTCAGGCTGGGGTTTCTGCATAGACAAGACTTGGGATTTATTTTAACTGTCCATTTTTCCCCCTGCTATCCCCACTTGTCCACTGACAACAGCATACACTAAAAGGGAAACCTGAGAAATGGTGTGAGTCTCCTCAGAAAACAAGCCTATCCTCCCACCCACAGTTACTTTAATTAAGCGCCCATTAAATCAGAACCAGAATTATAAATAGTTACAACTTTACAATAATTGGCAACACATATACTATAGTATTTACAGTATCATAAATGCTTCTGTTTCTCTGGTTAAGCAATCCCTGAGACGGAACAGTGTTCTGTATTTGCCAAGGGAGAGGGGTCAATGCCCAGAACACGCAGGATATAGGGGCGTGAGGTGCCGTTTTGTGGAGTTTCTGATGTATCTGCAGGGCCTCGCTCCTTCAGAAACAGTGGGCTATAGAGAAGCTTGCCAAGGCAGGCATATTGTCTGAATTGGACTCTCCCTAATCCTTAGCTCTTGTGGTCCTTTGGCCTCACCACAGGTGGTCAGAGTCCTCTCAGGGAAGACAAATGTTTCAGTGTCCTTGGCCTGACTTGATGGTACCTGAGAGCCCAGGCTGCCCCGACAGTGAGCTGTCTGATTTCTCAGCCAAAACGCTCCCGAACAAGCAGCATCAATTTCTTCTTGCCTTTGTAAATCTGTTTGAGGTTGTCAATGAACTGGGCAAATTGCAAGTGGCCATCCTGCGGCAGTAGAAGGTTTCCCGAGCCTTGCTCAGGAACTCGATGAACTCTCCGTAGTGGCGGGGGCTGATGTGTGTCAGGCGTGAGTGTGTTAGTGTGATATAGGCATTGATGGTGGCATCCAACAGCTGGCGCAGTGGAGCTTTGTCAGTTGACATGAGCTTTCCGGAACTGCGGCGGCCTGGAATACTGCCAGGCCAGGTGCAGTCACTGTGCAGCGCCGCAGTATATCTGAAAGCACTGTGGCACAGTGCACACTCTTCACCACCAGGGGGATGAGGGCTGCTAAGCTCATTCTTTCCCAGAGTGGCTGAGGGCACAAGCCCAGAGCACAATCATTGATGGCTGGGTGGGTGTCCTGGTTGTTAGCCAGGTAAGATGGCTCATGGCCAGTGAGGCCAGCTTGAAGGCACGTAGCGGGTAAGCCACGGAGCTCCATGTAGGCGGGCAATGGTGAATAGCTGTGAATGGGTCATGCCACCAGCAGCAGCATCAATAGCAATCTGGTAGGCTGCCTCCAAAGGCAATGTGGTCTTTCTCACAGAGTGTAAGGGCTGACAAGGCACAGCTCTGTGGATCCTTCATAGCACATTGTAGGGCCAGTGTGCGAGCGCACAGCTAGCCAGTTCCTCCCGCTGGGGGTAGTCAAGACTGAGGCGCAGGATAGTGGTGTGGGATACAGCTGTGGCAGCTACAATACTAGTAGCCTCGGTGGGGGTGAAGAGTGTGTACCAGCTCTGCAAGATGCTCACCAGGGCCCGCACACCTGTCAGGGAGAGCCTGAGCTCAGCAGTGGCCATCCGGGTCCCGATCCAGTCTGCCCACATTACCATTTGGGATCTGAACTGGCCTGCAAGACGAGTTCTCCCTCCTCCTCAGCAGCCTTGAGATGATCTGAGGTAAACCAGGGCAAGGGGAGCATCCCAGATGGCCAGACTCTGTTTGGGATCTCTTCCCATCCCTTTCTTCCCCAGGTCAGAGGGCTGAAAGTCTCCGCAGTGCTCTTAGTCCCTCTCAAGGATGGAACAAAAGAGCCCACGGTTTGCCTGCTCTAAGGCAGGGGCTGCAAGTTGGTCTGGGGTTCTAGCTACAGTGAGACCTCTGAGGATAGAGTCTTGTTCTGGGGCTTTAGGCTCTAGAAAGGTTCCTGAGTCTCCAAATTGGCTGGGGTTTCTAAGAAGCTTAGGCAGAGAAATGGGCCAAACCACTAGGCCCACTACCTCCCAAGGGTATACATGAGTATTGATGGTGAAAATACACTGTCTCAGAGACATGCCTTCTGCGCAGATCAGGTCAAAGTGCTGCTGAATTCAAGATATGGTTGAAGCAGTCGGGAGAACTTGGGCTGGTTGAAAGAGCGCCATCTTCTCTACTAGCACCCTCATCCTTTCCTAGCGTCATTCAGGAATAGGAATATGACAGCTCTAAGGTTCATTGTCATAATCCCAGAGATTGGACCTAGGAAAACTCCCCTGAAGGTGAGAGGGGCAGGAGACTCACCCACTTCTGTAGCACAGGTCACCAAACCATCGCACCATCTCCCGGCGCCTCCAGTTTAAGGGTGATAAGGTCATTCGCATCACCTAGGCACAAAAGAGGCATTTCTGTGCGGCTAAGCCTAATGTTTGATCTCTTTCTTCCCACTTCTTCTTGCTTTTATTTAATGCAATAAGTATTTTTCGGTGTTTCAAGTAAGTGGTCTTATTTCCCCGGATTAATATGTACAGTTTTAACTTCTGTTCCATGTCCTCTCACTAATTCAGATAGGAGGCTTCTCTGATGACTTGTAACGAAGTTCTTTATACCTTCCTTGACTTGGGAGGGAACGAGATGAGAAGGAGAGAAGATGAGGAAACCCTATAAAACCGAAAGCTATTTTGCTCTTGGTCTTAATAAAAAATGGAGTCCCAATTTAATAGATTTACATTACCTTCAACCTACGCCCTGAACGTGCGTTCTGGGTGTCACAGAAAGAACCAGATGTAGCTTCTTCATTTTTTTTGACAATTGTTACTAGCCTGAAACACAAAAAGTGGGTCAGACCCATTTCTTATTCGCTACCTTGTAAACCCAGCTCCAAGGCCACATTGAGCAACGGTACTGTCTTGTACTACTGTCCGTGGAGTAGTAATCTTGAAAGCATCTTGAGCCAGACGCTTTGAAGATGAGGAATGAAGAATGGACTATGTGTTTCTAGTATTGCTTCCAGAATAGTTCGCAGCCTCAGACGCTATCCCCTACAGGTGTGAGGACATAGCAGGACAGGTTTGCTTTATAATTTCCTTAGACAGTTAGCCTGATACAATAGGCTCTCTTGGTTGAACTGACTGCTATCAGTTCACCTGAATGTTTCTGAATGTGTCTGAATGGTCAAGCTGTCTCCCCCTGAAGCCCACGAGCTGGCTTCTTTGGTCCTCATGCAGCCACATGAAATTCACTTTCCTCCTTCACCTTTTCATTCATTTCTCTATTCCTATACCTATATAGCCCTCAGGCTCTTTAGCTAATTGGAAACAACTTTCTTGAATACAAGAATTTTTTTGAGAATTCCTTTACAGAGCATAGGAAGCCACAATTATTGCCAAAAATTTACATTTCTTCATTGTTTGCTTCTCACTACAGCTCCCTGGAGCAAAAGGGAGCTGAGCCACCACCTTCCATTCAATAAGCAAGGATTTCCACTACAAAGATACACAGTTAAGGAATATAAAACCATATGGAACTGGGGTTGGGATTTAGCTCAGTGGAAGAGTGCTTGCCTGGCAAGTGCAAGGCCCTGGTTCGTCCCCAGCACCTGACAAAAAAAAATAAAAACTAAAAAAAACAGGAAAAACCATATGAACTGAAGGCATATTTGCATAAAGCCATACAGTGTATAAAAGACTGGTCTATTTATGAACAGAGGATATATGAAATAAAGAGGAATTAAAATTTGCAGATGCTAATTGGTCGTGCCATGCCTATAATTTCCCAGCTACTCCAGAGGATGGAGACAGGGAGGACTGTGGTTCAAGGCCAGCCAGGCAAAAAGTAAGTGAGACCACATCTCGATCAAGAAGTTGGTATAGTGGTGTGTGATTGTCGTAGTAGAGGAGCACGGCCTAAGCAAAAACGTAGTCCCTGCCTGAAAAAATAACTAATGCAAAAAAGGTTAGGGCATGGCTCAAGTAGATAGAGCATCTACTAGCAAGTGAGAGGCCCTGAGTTTCAAACCCACGATCACCAAAATAAATCTATAAAGATATTATAAACATTCACATGCAGGTGTTGGTACAGACGTTAAGTTTTAGGCTCACTTGGTAAATCACCAGGAGTGTAAAGCTAATCAGCTATGGCAAACTACATTAGCCTTGGTAAAAACCTGCCCAAGTGCCTTCAAAGTTGCGTACTATAGTTGTGTTCCAAACAGCAGGAATAAGAGTTTTCCTGTTGCACTATGTCATTGATCAGCATTTTGGGTGATGTCCAGTCTAATAAGGTATAGTGCACTTACGTTTTAAGTTACAATCCCTAATGATATAAGATGCTGGTCATCACTTCATATGCTGGTTTGCATCTGTATATGTTCTTTGCAGAGGTGTCTCTTTAGGATCTTTAAAGTTGATCTTTCAGCCAACTTTATTATTTTTTATTTTTTTTTTCCTTTTTCTTTTATTACTTCATATGTGCATACAAGGCTGGGTTCATTTCTCTCCCCTGCCCCCACCCCCTCCCTTACACGCCAGGTCTGCCCCCTCCCTCCCCCCAACAACAAACCCAGCAGAACTATTTCTGCCCTTATTTCTAATTTTTTGTAGAGAGAGTATAAGGATAAGGAAGGAACAAGGTTTTTTGCTGGTTGAGAATAAGGAATAAGCTATACAGGCATTGAACTCACATTGATTCCTGTGCGTGGTTGTTACCATTTAGGTTAATCTTTTTATTCTCACCTTTTCTCTAGTACCTGTTCCCCTTTTCCTCATTGCCTTCAGTTGCTTTAAGGTATCTGCTTAGTTTCTTGCATTGAGGGCAACAAATGCTAGCTAATTTTTAGTGTTCTTCTAGTGTGTTTAGCCAACTTTTAAACTGGGTTGTCTGCTTATTCAGTTTTAAAAGAATTCTTCTGTAAATCCTTTACACAAATGTTTTTCAATATTTCCTCCCAATCTGTAACTTGTCTTTTCTTCTTCTTCTTTTTT